TGTGTGAATGGAGGTGCTGTGTGGAGGTTGGAGGACAGTTTGGGTGCTGGTCTTCACTTGTTTAACACAGGGCCTTTTGGTTGTTGCTGCTGTCAGTGCAGCTAGCCCATGTCTTTCCTGGAGTCTTCTGTCTCCACTTCCAATTTTCCTGAAGGAGGGCTGACAATGGACACATTATGTGTCTGTCTCTCACGTGAGTCCTGGTGATCCAAAGTCAGGTTCCAGCCTTGGGCAGCAAGTGCTTTTACCTGCGGAGTCATCTCCTCTTCTTTACCAGCTGTAAACCACTTTCACTCTTTAAAGCCAAATTCTTCATAATCATTTGGCAATAATAAGCACATTATTTTCCTCAATATAGTGTGTAGTGAGTGTTTTTATTATCCTTTGACACAAGTAGAATGAGTAGAGAATGGTTGACCCACCTCCCAAGGGGTCCTAAGGCTTCAGGGAGGGGACTGTACTGAGAAGCCAACCCCTCCGTAGCATTGGTTGAGGCCTAGAGGACAGTTCTCCTTTCTCAGAGATACCTGTTTGGCACGGTGCTATTCACAAGTCACTTCAGACTAACTTCAGTGCTTCAGGCCCTTGCATGTTCAAGAGGTTCACTTCCTTCTTCCTTTTCACCTCAGTAACTCAGACTATGTATGTGACCTGCTGTGTGGAGTTTTTTCCCAACAAGCATTTCTTGAGAGAGAGAGAGAGAGAGAGAGAGAGAGAGAGAGAGAGAGAGAGAAGGAGAGATAGAGAGACAGAGGCTTGTCTGCCTCTTCAGAGAAATGGTGGAAAGAGAGAGAAGAGAGCTCCCAGCAAGCATTTTTGTGATGCCCTCTGGAAATCACACACATCAGTTCAATTCTGACATTAACTGGAGTTAGCACAGACCTCAAAGGCTGTGAACCCACCCTTTAACATCTGAGCCAGCGCTCCAGTCCCAGAGTTAGCACAGACCCCAAAGGCTAGGGCTCAGACCCACAAGACGGAATAAACCCTATTTCAGATGACAATTATAGGAAGCACATCCCCAGGTTAATCGCACTGTTTTCTCACTTGGCTACAGGTCATGGAGTCCCAAGGCTCCCTTCTTTGGTAGAGTAGATCACAAAATCCAGGAAAACATTGTGATTATTGCTAAAGGCCCCCAAGGAGCAGTCATGTGAACACATAGATTGGGTGTAGCTGGGCCCCCGGTACAGAAATTATTGTCCTCATCAAGCTGGTGTACATCACCAGGCTGGTGTACATCACCCTTCTGGCACATGGCATGGTCTCGTTCATCGACTGGGAGCTGTCTGAACTGCATTCTTTAACATCTGAGTGGAGATTTCATCACACAGGCATGATTAATGAACCCAGCCTCCAGCTGCTTTTCCCTTTGGGAGGATGGGGGCTGGGTGGGTAAGGCTCAAGGTCATTCACATGACCAGCCCCATCCATGAGCCCACCTAGAACCATCTACCACGATGCTCCTGTTATCAGAAAAAGCTGAGAGATTGGAGACTGTCTGTGCCTAACACCGAGGACCACGTATGAAGATAAAAGATGTCCCCAGTGTCTCCATCGCTCAAAGATGAAGGGTTTTAATTATGTGCCAGGAGCTCAAGTCAAAACTCTAAATGTTCATATTTCACTGTTAATCACACTCTCATGGAATGAACTACCCTAACACCCGAGCACTCCACCATGGGGTATAGATAGACAAAGCCAGAAGGTAGATTCAAAATTTGGCTTCATGGTGTCCTTGGGAAAGTTATTTGCTTTCTTAGACCTCACCTGCTTCATCTGAAAAATCCTCTTCTGGGCTGGGGATGTAGCTCAGTGGGCAGTGAGTTTGTTTTGTATGTGTGAATTGCTGGTTTTGATGACTAGTGTTGGAATAAGTCTGGTATGATGGAACACGTCTGCAATCCTAGTACTCAGGGGGTTGACACAGCACGGTTCGAAGTTCAAGGCCCTTGGCTACATACGTAAGACTCTGTCTGAAAAGTAAAGAAACAAAACAACAAACAATCACCCTCTCCTAACATGAGGCTAAATGACAATGCTTTAGTGTGAAGCTTGGTAATGAAGGAATGTGGTTTTCTTTCTCCTGCTCTTGAAACAAAGCTGGAGATAGGATGGAATTTCGTGTTATTTTGTCAAAGAGCCAAGGAGAAAACTGTCAGACAAAGTAGCGTGAGTTTCCATGAGTGCTGAGATGGGGACTGGGCCCCCAGATGAGTCTCTGCTCGGCTTCTCCCAGAAGGGCCTGGCCTGTGCCCATAGTCACTGGGGGTCACAGCGTGAAGGTGGAGGGCATTTAGTAACAAGACACCATGAGTCTATTCTGGAAGGGAGAGGCTGTGCCCTGACCCTGTGAGGGGAGTTATGTCATGGCCATCCATGTTTGCTGTGCCAGGGCTTTGGAGGATCTGTGACATTGTTACTTTTAGAGGCGTTGGCCCCAACCTGCTTGTCAACCCCGGGAGGATTGGGGCATCACCACCTCAGGCCAGGCAGGTTCCATTAATCACCTTTTTGTTAGTTTTGATCCTTCACAGAGAGAGCCAGGGCTCTTGCTTTGGGCTGAATCATGCCTTTCCAGTGAGAGAGCTGAGCCATCAGTTTGAGATGGGAGGGCTGGGCAGGGTCAGAGGTCAGCCCAAATCCTGGACTCATCACGGTGTTTAAACACCCCAGCACACCCTGGCAGACCACCTGCCTTCTGGGTGACCAGGGGTCCACTTTCTTACCTCGGAACACAAAGGTGACAATGTACCAACTCAGGGCTCTCTTTCCTAGTCTTGCTGAATCAGCACAGGGAGTTCTGCGATGACCTCACATCCGTGCCACCTTAGCCCCTGCCTGATATCACTAAGCCCTCACACTCCTGCGGCTCAGAACCCTGCTCCTGAGAGCCCATCCATGGTAGCTGTGACCCATTGGTGTGGGGAAGCTGGGGGAGCCTAGCCTGGGGTCCTTCCTTCTCAGCCTTGGAAACTTCTTTCCTATCTCAGGTTCTGAGAGGAGCCCCTCCAGACCTTTTCTTCCAGCTGGACCAGCAAGGCCTCCTCTAACAGTGTCTTTGGGCAGTCCCGGTGCTTCTTAGCTATACCTGGGGTCTTCAGAAGAGACCCTGACCCTAGCCCCTGAGACACAACCTCTTATGCATCTCTCAGTCAAATGCTTACAAACTGAAGCAGAGAGCATGAGAGAGGGCCCTGCTTAGGAACTCCAGAACCATTGGAGATTTGGAAGGTGCCCTAAAACAGTCAGAATAGTGGAATATTAACCCATGTATTGGACTGACCCAGCCAGGGCTTTTGAAACTCAACCCTGTAAACCTTGGGGTATGGCAATCCATTGCTGCAGAGACTTTTCTGACCATCACAAGATATTTAGCCACATCCTCTATGTCTACCCTTTGTGTATCAGGACCATCATCTAATTGTGACAACCCAAACAACTCTAGACATGGTTAAACGTCCTCTGTCGAGCCAAGTTGCCTCTGGTGGAGAACCTAAGGACTCAGCTCTAATGTCAGAAGCTGGAAGAATGATATTATTAGGGGCACAAGCTACAGGTAGGCACTCAGGGAAGGTACCATGAGTTTCCTGAGTGCTGGAAGGTTCTGGATCGTGGGAGTATGCTTAGGTGACAAGGCAATTAGACATTTAAGATTTATAAACTTTACTGTATGAAAAATGGATCTAAAATGAGGCTGGGGCAGGAAGAATTAGTCTTGGGGTTTAGTTCTCATTCTACCATAAGATTCAGTTCTCTGTGTATAAAGTGGGGGGTAACATAGAAGCCACCTCCTGTGGCTGCTGCTAAGAGGGATGAAACTGAGTGCAGGGCTGGTGAGACGCTCAGCAAGCCAGAGTTTCATCCCTGGGACACACTCAGAAGGAGAGCTCACTCCCAACAGTTGTCCTCTGGCCTCCACGGTGTACTACAGCACACGTGTTCCCCCAGTGCACAGAATAAAGAAATGTAACTGAAAAATTAAAAAGAAAAAAAGAAATCCCGTGTAAAGTATTTAGGCTCTAAGCATATCAGTGGGGTTACTTCCTCTTCCTGTGCTTCAGTTTCCTCAGCTGTGTTTGCTTTCTCGGGTTCCCTAGGGTCTCTTCTTAGTGTTGCCTTTTAGAACCATTTTCATCTTTCTTTTTTTAAAAAAAATCTTTATTTATTTTTATTTCACGGGCACGAGTGTTTGACTGCATGCATTTAACGCAGTCTTAAGTGTTCCTGGTGCCTACAGAATCCAGAAGAGGGAATGAGATCCCCTGGAACTGGAGTTACAGACAGTTGTGAGCTCTCATGTGGGTACTGGGAACTGAACTCAGGTCCTCATCCCCAACGGCAAGTTTTCTTAGCCGTGGAGCCAACTCTCCAGTCCCTGGAACTATTTCTTTCTCAGGCTAAACGTATCCAAGGAGGTTAACTCTTTAAGATCAACAAAGTTGGTCATCAGAAGTGTTGGGAGCGTTGGCATAGATGAAGTGCTAAGGGGTTTCTAGAACATTCCAGCCACATGTTTTAGAAGCAGAAAGAAGGGTAGTGAGGGCTATGGGTATTCCACCTAGCATAGGGGCACTTTGCAGCCTGGCTTTCCCCTGCAGAGGCTCCCTGGCAGACCATTGCAGTCCAGTCCCTATTCTAACACTGGGCAGGGCTGGGATGGAGGCTCTCAACTGGAAAGGTGAAGGAGAATTTGGTTGTCAAAAGGATAGTCTCAAGCAGAACACTGCTCCCTCTGAATCATCTCTTTTGTTAAGGATTAAAAGGAAAAAAAGCCACCCCCAAAGACACAACCCACCCTGGAGAGCAGAGGTAACTGGGCTTGTGGGAAATAAGGTGCAGCTGGCATCGGGTCAGAGGGTGGAGAAGGGAGGGGAGAGGATGTCCCACCCCCGTGGAGGGCGCATAAAAGCCACGCACAGCAGGGAAGAGCCACAGTCCTTCTTGGCCTTGGTCAAGTTCTGCGCCTATCTGCTCCTGCTCTTACTCTTGCTCCCACCATGAGCTGTCGCTTTCAGAGTTCCTCCACTAGCTATGGAGGTGGTTTTGGGGCTGGTTCTTGCCAGCTTGGAGGGGGCCGTAAAATCTCTACCTGCTCTTCCCGCTTTGCCTCTGGAGGGTCAGCTGGAGGCTACGGAGGTGGCATGAGCTGTGGCTTTGGTGGAGGGGCTGGTAGTGGTTTTGGGGGTGGCTTTGGAGGTAGCTATGGTGGAGGTTTTGGTGGAGGTTTTGGTGGAGGGTTTGGAGGTGGCTTTGGTGACTTTGGAGGTGGCGATGGTGGCCTCCTCTCTGGCAATGAGAAAATCACCATGCAGAACCTCAACGACCGCTTGGCCAACTACCTGGAAAAGGTGCGAGCTCTGGAGGCAGCCAATGCTGATCTGGAGGTGAAGATTCGTGACTGGCATCTGAGGCAGAGCCCAACTAGTCCAGAGCGGGACTACAGTGCCTACTACAAGACCATAGAGGAACTCCGGGTTAAGGTGAGGCCTGTGATGCTAAGAAGGCTTTGTTAATCAGTACAGGGCAGAGCGTCAAGAGCTAGGACATGCAGTATTGCAGAGGACCACACACGGATGGAATTCATATTCTTGCAGGGGGAATATTCTAACTTTGCACTACCAAGACTTCCTACTACTGAAGTTTTCTTATGTTGTGGCTCAGTGCTTTCTCTCCCATACTTCATGTTTATTGGTGTCATTACTCCTGTTAATTTTTTTATGACTTACTGAACTGTTACTTGTGACTCAGTTGCTATAACCTAACCTACTGAGTTATTTGGAAACATGACATTTTAAGAAGTCACCGTGAATGGCTAAAAACCAACCGAGAAAAGACATCTTCATTCATTGTATATTTTGGAAGAACTGTATAAACTTATTCTCAGTGGATGATGACTCAGTGGGGTGTAAAGATGTAGAGGCTCAGGTTGGTATAGAGCCTGGAATCCCTCAGTGATGCCTGTCTGTCACAGCGTGACACCAACTTGTTAGAGCAGAAATCTACTAGCCTGGATCAAGCCCCAGTTATGCAGAACAGGCTATAGTGTTTAGACCGGAAATGTTTGGGCAAGAGATTCAATTGCATGTGTTTTCTCCTTGCTTATCTGAGCTCCTGGGACATGGCCAGAATATATCTGGGTCACACTGAACCCCTTCTGACTTTAAGGGGAAGGCTCTCGAGACAGTGACCTAGACAGGTAACAGCCCTGAGATATGGCTGCTGGAAGATGCCCTGAGTGGGTGTTTTCTCTGCAATGTCCATCCTTGGCTTCTCCCACCCTGACCTGATGGAGAATGCTCAAGAGAAACAAGAGGGCGCTAAGAGGGTGATGGCCTTGCCTCTCACCTCACAGAGTGCTTTGTCTCCCCTCAAGTACAGATAAGACATTCAGTTTTGCTCTCTAAGCACAGCTCCAGAGTGTCCATCTGTGTTTTGTAGATCCTGGAAGCCACCACTGACAACAACCGGGTCATCCTGGAGATAGACAATGCCAGGCTGGCTGCAGATGACTTCCGGCTCAAGTGAGTCTATTTCCCTCATGTCTTTCCTATCAGACTCTTATGTCAGAGGAATGCCTGTCTGATGGAGGACACTGGGACATCCAGGAGCAAAGGCCTTGGAGTAGTAGAGGAGTTCAATGTGTGGGGTGGGATGTGTCTAATATTATTTGTTTTGCTTTCAGGTATGAGAATGAGCTGGCCCTGCGCCAGAGTGTGGAGGCCGACATCAATGGCCTGCGTAGAGTGCTGGACGAGCTGACCCTGTCTAAGACTGACCTGGAGATGCAGATCGAGAGCCTGAATGAGGAGCTGGCTTACCTGAAGAAGAATCATGAGGAGGTGAGAGGGGATGACAGACTTGCCATGGGCTGAGCCACCTCTGGTGAGCAAGGGGAGCCCTCTGCTGCAGGCTGACACTGCCATCCGCTGTGGGGTCCTGAAGACTCTTCCAGAACATTCTGCTGCCACTCAGAGATAAGGAGAAGGGGGAGCCTCTCACATCTTCCTTTCCTACCCTGCAGGAAATGAAGGAGTTCAGCAACCAGGTAGTAGGCCAGGTCAACGTGGAGATGGACGCAACCCCTGGCATTGATCTGACCCGTGTGCTGGCTGAGATGAGGGAGCAGTATGAAGCTCTGGCAGAGAAGAATCGGCGGGATGCTGAGCAATGGTTCCAGAACAAGGTACTGGTGTCCCTAACCCACTCATCTGGGCGGTGCTGGCTGGGTGGGACACAGCTTTTGGTCAGGGCTTCTTGCTAAGTCCCACCACCCCCTTCTCTCTGCTTGGCATTCAGAGTGCAGAGCTGAACAAGGAAGTGTCATCTAACGCTGCCATGATCCAGACCAGCAAGACGGAGATCACAGAGCTCAGGCGCACACTCCAGAGCCTGGAGATTGAGCTGCAGTCCCAGCTGAGCATGGTACCCTCTGCTGCCCATGCCCTGTGACCCCCACTACTAGGTCTCGCTCTGGACTGGCTCTCCCCATAACTTCCTCCTTGCTGCTCCATCAGAAAGCTGGCCTGGAAAGCACCTTGGCAGAGACGGAGTGCCGCTACGCCCTGCAGCTGCAACAGATCCAGGGACTCATCAGCAGCATCGAGGCTCAGCTGAGTGAGCTCCGCAGCGAGATGGAGTGCCAGAACCAGGAATACAAGATGCTGCTCGACATCAAAACACGGCTGGAGCAGGAGATCGCCACCTACCGCAGCCTGCTCGAGGGCCAGGATGCCAAGTAGGTCCCTGGCACCTGTTGTCTAAGTGGTCACAGGAACAGTGGCTGGCAGGGCAGGCTGGGTCTTAGAGATCAGCTTCCTCTTGTTGGAGAGGTGACAGCTTCTCTCTGAGCTTAAATAGTCTGGCAAAAGAGCCGGGGTCAGAGTCCTTCCTCATCTCTCCAGTTAGATTGAGGAACTGCTCTGCAGCAGGCTGTCAGGGTTAGGACCTTTGTGCATCACGGTTCCAGCCTGTTTGTGGATAGGCTGGAAAAGGGATGTGGAAAGAGTGTTTCGTTAGCTGGTATGCGGTCCAGCCCGACAAAGCTGTTGAGATAGTGGTTTGGGATGGCCACATAGCTCCAAGACAGAGTGCCAGCTTGGCTCTGTCCCTGCACCAAGGAGAGAGAGGATGGTGGTTTAACTGCTTTCATACTATTTGCAGGGACCAAGCCATCCTTGTGGGCTTAGGGAAAAGGTGGGGGCGGTGGTGCAGAGAACTGAGTGAACCAGACATCCCAAATCTTGGGACCAATAGTATTTCCTTTCAAGGGTTTTCAGACAGACAAATTGGCAAGACAGGTAGACAGGCAGGCACACCTGGTAGATACCTAGGGGGAAAGAAGGTCCCAGGCTGGAGACAATGTTGGGAAAGATTCCAAGTCAAGGCTCTGAAAGGTGACTGAGTCCCTAATCAGAGGACCAGGAAATGCCTGTCTTCAGCTGCCCTCTGCTCATGGCTGTTTCTCCCCTCCCTTCCAGGATGACTGGCTTCAACAACTCTGGAGGTGAGGAGGCAGCTCAGTGGGAAGTGGTTTGAGCTGCTGAGCGTGGGTGGTGGTGGGCTGGGAGGGAGGCAGTGCTGGCTCCTAAGTACAAGGATGGAGGGAATTGGGTGGAAATGGTTACTTGATTATTGGCTCATCGATATAAATGTCTCTGCTCCATAGAGCCATGGGGTTGTCTTGGAGAAAGCCACCATTAGGGACAATAATAGAATCCCCACCTATATACCTCTTGGCTACTTAGGAGAGTGTGAGCCTTCTTGGGGTCTTGGCTCATTCTGAGGCGGGGTTTCCCTAGCTTGAACGTCTTGTCTTCTCTCTGTCTCAGGAACGAGCACTGCCTCCAATGCCTCCTCTTCCCCCTCCACTTCTGGTCGCCTGGACTTCCGAAAGTATTAACTTAGCCTGAAGTCCCTTCCCTGGCCTTCAGCAGCTGCAGGAGGAGAGTTGACTGTGCCTGTAGGATGAGAGGACTGCAGGATGTGAAGCCAGTCCCATTGTCCACATGTCTCTGACAACCTCTGAGGGCGGACCTGCCCCCTTCTCTCCTGATTGGAGGCCATCTCTTCCCTACCCTGCTCTCCCTACTCTTTGGTTTCTCAATGTCTCTACTAAAAAGAACGGATAATTCAATAAAGTTTCCTGATTTTTCTGCAAATGTTTCTGTTTCTGGCCTGGTTTTTGAGGGTGTCCTCCGCCAAGGCCTGATTTGGGTTATGGGTGAGCTGGGTACAGATGGGCTGAGCAAATAACTTAGATACTGATTGGGGAAATGGAGACCCAGGGCAGGCATCCCAGCTCTAATGGCTGCCTTCCAGGCTGACAACTGTTTTGGCCTGAAATATCCTCCTTTCTGTGTTCCTTGGCACACCTCAAGGCCTTACAACTCGAAATCACCCCAAGACTAGCCTGTGACTCACTCAGCACCTCAGCCTGCCCTGGTCTCTGGCTGCCCACTCTCTGGTCTCCCTGCTCTCTCCTGCTTCTCTGGAGACCTGGCCCAAAGTCATAGCCTCCTCTGGCTATGCTAATCCTACACAAATTGACTACACAAATCTTTCTCTCTGCTCTTTCCTTTCCCCTTGGACCATCCTGGATGTGTCTGTGGCCTAATTACTACATGTCTGATGACCCCTACGTCTGCCTTGCCAGCCTCAGATTCACCTTCCCTATTGTGTATAGGGCATCCCTTCCTAAAGTCTACAGATCTACAGGGCCACATTCTTAGATTGCTTCATCTCTGTTCCACTCTCAGGGACCCAGAGAGCCAAGACAGCATCATCTTGGTCTCTCTGTCTCTCTCTGTCTCTGTCTCTGTCTCTGTCTTCCTCCCCCCTCTGTCTCTCTTCTCGTCTTCCATAAGTCTTTCCCATGGACAGTGTTTTAGCTCCCATAGCTTCCCTGGTTCTAACTTTCAGGACATGCTACTACAACATCCTCCCTGGCTCCAGTTTGACCCTGCCCTTCACTCAAGCTGGGTTGATGAACTGAAATTTAAAGTCCTATAGCTTAGAGATGACCCTGGAGATATCTATCCATGGCCATCAAAGAAAGGCCAGGCTCCTTTGTAGGCCCAGGTAAGATGGTCTGACCTCACTTCCTTCCAGTCCTAGAGAGCCTTCCCACTGAACCTCAGGCCCTGCTCTCTGGAGATGCTGTTGATGAAGCAGCCATGTGGCTGGGCACCCGGAGAGCCCTTGTTCTACAAGAGACCTCTGTCTGACTCTCTTCATCTTCCTCTCCAGAGCACATCTTTGTTTTATCTGAGACTATAAGGCTTTTCTTCAAATGAAGGTTGAGATGGATACACCTTCTCCATGGCTGACGGAGGGTGTGGCAGGCCCCTGGGTGCTCTCAGGATTGTACCCATCTGTCCTCACTTTGACAGTATGACCCCAAGGGTAGGACTGTGTCTTTTCATCTTGGGTCAGGGGGTTAGCTAGTGCTTGTTGAAAGAAGAGAAAAGTTCATGAACTGGGGATCTGCTTTCCAGATGACATTTGGGTTTTGTCACAGAATTTTGCCTATAGGGTTGGAGGGTCTCTGGCATTCTTGCTGCCTGTCCTCTTCCTCTGGTCTTTCCCCTCCCTTTCCTGTCTCTCCTCTGAAGTTTCCCACCCCACGCCAGTGTAACTTAGACTCTTCCCACTTGCGGGCCACATGCAGGGGCTTAGGCACACAGGGGTCACTCAGGCATGCCTGGGCTAGCTAAAGCAGAGACAGTATCTGTTCTTCACTCATCCCAGAGCCCACGCTATTCTCCACTATAGAAGGAGGTGGGGCTCAGGTCAAGTTCAATGTCCAGAACTCTGCCAGGAGCTAAATAAAGTATTATAGAAAAACAGGCCAGGCCTTAGTTCCCAGTGCTTTTTGATTTTTGGTTAATTTCTTTAGGCTGTAGCTACCTGTTGAGTGCTATTGTATTCTCAACACTGGATTGATTCTGGAGAAAGAAAAAAATATGGCCTCTGTCTTTAAAGGAGTTCTCAGATAAACAGGAACTACTATGAGTACTTCCTCTCCTGCTAATTGCTACCTTCTCTGTGGGTTATTAAAGTTGAGGACACAGAACTTCTGACACAGTAAGTCAGTGTGCACCAAACAGCACTCTGGTCATGACCTTCCTGGTTCTGTGACTCCCTTTGAGGTAGAAAGAGTTTCAGGGCCACCCACATCCTCATACCTAGTGTATTTACAGGAGCTGAAAGAATGTACTGGATGGAGGACTGAGGGACCATGGGAAACGGAAGAGGTAGCAAGCACACTCTACCAAGGGCAGGAAGAAATGGGGACCCCACCCCAGTCAGGGATAGGAGCTTTTAGAACTGAGTGCTCCTGGCTGGTTCTTGTTCCTGAGGCCAAAGATTCATTCCCTGACTCGGTATTGGTGTGTCCCATAGAATATGAGGGGAGTCACTCAGTGACAGGAGCTGGACCCCTAAGTCTGCAGAGCACTCTATCTGGGGGGGCCTTTCACTAAGATCTCAGAGAGGACTGTGAGAAGCCTCAACTAAAGACTTCTGCAGTCTCATGAGGTGTCTCGGGGAAGCCTGGCAGGGTAGGCCAGGAGCAGGTGTTTCTGCAAGGCCACCCAGCAACCTTTCTGAGCTGGGAATAAGGCTGACCCAGCTCTCTGGTCTGGGAGGAGGGAAGGGTGGAGTGGGGATCCTGTCTTTCTGCCTAGGACTCCATCTGTCACTTTAGTCACCCGTGTGGGGTGACACTTGAGGGATAAAAGACAAGCTGGGTCAACACTGCCCCTCCCTAGGGGGTTGCCCTAGGTGCTCAGGCCACACCAGGCTCTGTGGCTGCTTCCCAGAGCTTCAGTAATGAGCAAACAGCCATGACCCAGGGGCTCCTGACTCACATCTATGTCACACCATGAGTGAGTGTGTGTTAAGTCAGGTGACCCTAGGTTACAATCAGATTGAAAAGGCTAACACACTGCACATTGTATACCCTACCCAGATCCCCAGCTCTATGTCACTTCATCTTTGATCATCCCAAGAGCTGTCACTGTTGTACCCATTTTACACGCATAAAGACCAATTCAGACCTTCTAAGTGATAGACCTAGTTCAAAGGATGGGGCCCACATTCCAAAAGGCTTCCTGAGGTGATGGTTGGGACTTTGTCAAGGGTTATATGTTCACTTTCAGTAATGTGGGAGAGGGACAAGGCTCCCAGACCCCAGTGCTCAGGTGACAAGAGTCAACCAGGGTACATTGCTATGATGTCCAGGAGCCTCAGTACGAGGTCAGGGTCCCAAGTGGGGCTTGTGGACTGGTGGGAAAGCCTGCCATGTGGCAGGTGATGTACCATGGTGGTTCAATGCTGAAATACTTTTAAAAAAGTAATTTATTTTTTATGTGCATTGTTGTTTTGCCTACAGTTTTGTCTGATCTTGGAGTTACAGACAGTTGTGAGCCGCCATGTGGGTGCTGGGAGTTGAACTCCGGTCCTCTGGAAGTACAGTCAGTGCTCTTAACTGCTGAGCCATCTCTCCAGCCCATCAATGCTGCAATTCTTAAGAGGCTCCTGGCTTCTCACCTTGAGCAAAAGCTACCTCCCCATCCTCAAGGCTCCACCCTTTGTTAATGGACCAGTACATGTCTGCCCATCTGATGGGGCTGTTTGTCCTGCCTGGGACCTGCAGAGGGCAGGCTCATGCCAGAAAGCAGACTGGGGCCTCTGGTCACCTGTTGGGACCTAAGGTAGAGGGGTGGGGCCTTAGATTTGGTCCCAGAAGGAGGCTTTCTCTGTCCCCAGAGTTGGGTATGGCACCAGAGGAACAAGGTGAAACTGAACAGAGTTCCATGCTTAAGACTCCTTTGATACTTGGGTCATCTATTTAGGGTGGCAGCATTGACCACCCAAACAGGAGTCTGAGACTTCCCTAGCCTTCCCAGAGGGGGAATCCCATTGTCCTGCCCTAGGGAAGCCTGTAATATGACGGAGAAGGGATGCCGTTGCAAGGTTGTAGTCAATAAGGCCTGATGATACATTGTCCAAGGATCCCCCATGTTCCTCCCTAGGGGGTTGTCCTAGGTGCTTAGGACAACCTAGGGGAATCTTTTTTCATCCCACTTTTGGGTCCGTGTATCTCTGAGAGCCTATGTTCTTTTGGATGGCATGCTTGGGGCTGTTGGGGTAGAGCAGGGTACCTGAACTATGTTCCTTTGAACATCTGTTCTGAGGCTCTGGGAGGTATGGGCACACTGTGTCCCCTCATGGAGTCTGGGAGGGGACAGATGGATGGGTGACTGCAGAGACTTGTTCAGGCACCTGTTGGGGATGGGCTTTTGGTAAAGTTGGCTGGTGTCTGGCACTTATTCTCCATCAAACTTTCACAATCGGTCATAACAGCCATGTGGCTGCTTTCATCCAAGTATATCAGAGAAACTTAAAAGTAAAACTCATGGTGTGTAGGGCAGTTAATGATAGCCTGGAGCCCCGGGTCTAGCCACAGAGATGCTGCTGTTCGCATGAGGCATGTGGTTATGCGGACTGCACAGCATCTGTAAATGCTGATGGCTGAGCCAATCAAATGTGGTGTTTGGGAGAGGCTTTGCTTTGTGGTTCAGTTAAGTGATACTTGAATGGAGGGGACGCAGACATTGATGTCCCTGTCCCAGTATGCCTGACAGCGAATCTCCCACAAACCACAGGTTCTCTAAACACACTGGGGAGAAAGGTAGTGCTGTGGAATTCTCAGGCCATAAAAGCTGAGTGAGGGGAGGAAGGACTCAGTAGGTCTGAGCAGAAGGCCATGTTCTCCAGATGGGAGCTGTTGATCAGCATGGTTGTGCAGGAAGAGCTGGCCCTTGGGGAAAGGGCTCTGGGCCCTGAAACATGAAGGCAGAGCATGCCCACAAGAGGACGGGAGAGGTACGGCTTTCT